TATTTCAGCATCTACAACATACAAAATAAATACTCAATTAAAATTTTAATAAATAAATATATAAAATATAATTCTACATTGTGATAAATGATATATATTGTGATATAATATTATTTTTAATTATTAATTTTTTTATAAAAATTAAATGCAACTTAAAAATAAACATGATCATTGATTTTAAAATTTATTTTTTCCTAATCATAAGCAACAATTATTGATTTTTAAAATTACTCAAGAGTAAATTTCTTTTATCATCTTTATTAATTATTAACTTTATTTCTCATGTATTCACTCCTAACTAATATTAAATATAATAACCACTTCAAATAAAGAGTATCTTAAAAATAAAATTAGAATTTATAACAAAATTAATTAAAAACAATCAATTTAATTACTCTTCTTAATTTTAATAATTTATAGTATTGTGATTTTAAAATTGACAAAAAAAAATAAACACCCCATATCAAACAAAATAGCACCAAGGCATTAATTGTTTTTTTTTTATATTTTCTTTAATTTGCCTCTAAATAGATAAGACTCGTGGAAACAATAGCTTGAATTGGAATGGAGAACCTACACCACAGGAGAAACAATTCAGAACTAACAAGTTTGCATGTCACTTAGAAATATGAATCCATTCATGACGAGAATCCGAAGTAAACATGGAAGATACACGAACAAATTGAGATGGAAGGAAAAAGAAAAGAGAAAAGAATAAGCCATTATGCTCCACAGTTGCTAAATCCAAACACATCCAAACCAAGCTAACACAAAAGACAGCATTAGTGAGTGAAAACTCCTTTTGAAGAGCACAGGAGATGCAGACTTTGGAGTTGAATGTTCAGCAGAGGTAGGAGGTGAAGGAAGAGGATGGACAATAACTGAGACCTTCATCCCATTGAAGCACTGGCCATTGCCACAAATGAAGTAGTATCTCTTGGCCTTGTTAAGGGGTATGAAATCCTTGCCACTACTCCAATTCCCCACTGCCCCTTCTGTGGTGCAGTTGTCATACCCTGTTTGGTTCACCTCAAACACATTGTATTGGTTCTTTTGGTACCTGAATGCTGTGAAAAATCAGGGGCAAAAATGTCAAGAAATAGTAGTTGATGAATAATACTTGGAATAAATTATCATTCTATTCCCTAAAATAATTTCTACACTAAATTAACATTACTCTAGCCTAAAGTGAAACAAATAATTTGATATATTTTTAGGAATCAAAATTTAGAAATTTAGCCGCATACACTTATTTAACATTTTCTCAATTTCAATATCTATTACCAGTTTCAGTATGAAGGTATAGTCAAATACTTATAGTTATCTAACAGAAGTGAGAAAAAAAAAAAAAAAAAAGAATGAATCTTTTAGCAAAAATAAAGGCAGAATCTTGAAGAACAACATTTGAGGTTTTGTAGAGGTTTAAGAAAAAGAAAGTATGTATAGATCTGCAAGTTTTAGTGAAGGAGAGAAAGACTAACAGATAAGGTCGCCGACATAGAAAGTGTGGTTGTTGGCCCAAAGAGTGTAGTTAATGCCAGGATTCCACCCACGATTGGCTCCCACAATGTGGTCGGTGGCGGTGGCAACGGCGCAGAGGAGCAGAAGGAGGGCACATGTCAGTTCCCATGAGCATGCCCTTGCCATATCTTCTCTCTCTCTTCCCTTTGCTTTCTAGTTTCTAGAGTTGAGTATTTCAAAGCAAAGGAACATTAACGGTAAGTAGAAGTAAGTAGAGGACAACAATTATTGCATTTGGGGACACACCATTTCTGTCTCACACAAATACAGCCTGTCACATACATTCTAACATAAAATTTTCATCTAGCCTGGCCCAACACATACTCAACTTACCCTTCTCTCTAATTTTTTAATTTAGGCCCATTAATTAAATCATACGACTCTGTCATGACCATTTTGATCCTGTCCATTTTTCTTTTTCGGCCTATCCCACACAGACTAGGACCGACTGCAATTAACAATTCCTATACCTTAGTCGAGGTTCAATTTTAGTCTAAACACTAATATGTAGAAAATGCAATAAACAATTAATTCATGGTATTAAATCCATGACCTGATAGTGTAGATAAGTGATAGAATAAATAATATTAAAATTAAATTTAATGTACTTTAACATTATTTAAATTTTGTTTATTAATTTTGAAACATTATTAAGGAAAACTTGTCTTTAACTAATATTGTCTTTTGAAATATATTATATTTTTTTAACTTCTAAAGTATATTATAATTATATCTATAGAAACATATAGTTAGGAGTACCAATGATTCAAGAAGAAGTCTGCATTGTTGATTTTAATTAGGTGTTAAATCATGTTAATGTTCGTTTAGCATCTTGAAAGGGTAAGTTTTTTAATAAGATTGGCTGTTTGTGCGTTGTTAACTTTGCGATTTCTTCTATTCTTGTATATTACATGTAGTCACTTTGGCTACCACAAAAAGTGTGTAACAAGATTAATCAAGCCTACCAAAGTTCGTTATGGGCCAAGGATGGTGCAATTCGACTCTAGTCTTTGGTGAACTGGAGTACCATCTCAAATCCAAAGGAGGAGGAGTGTTTGAGTTTCCATGATGCTCGGCAGGTGAATATTTTTTTACTTAGAAAATTGGTGTGGGACCTTTTACATTCGGATTAGAAGTCGTGGGTGAGTCTTTTACGTGAGAAATACTTGCATGGAGAGTTGGTGTTGCATGCTAAGAAATAGACTGGAGCGTCTTAAATATGGAATAACATTGTTAGAGGTCTTCCTTTTATCCAAGAAGGATTTGAACCTAAGTTAGGTGATGACAACTCCTCATTTTGGTATAAAGACTGGTTTAGTATGGGCATACTAGGGGTACGAGTATCGTTTGTTCATATTCATGATGTGGAAGAGACAGTGGCCCAATGCTATAAGAATGGAGCTTAGGATTTTAGGTTCTTATACACTCAGCTTCTTAATGAGTGGGCCCTATGATTTCAGCAAGTTAGCATTCCCTTTATTAAAGGTAGTGGGGAAAGGTGATGTATCAAACTGTTACACTACAGCTCCAAGTTTTCATTTTCTTCAAACCAAGGCACCTTGTTTGCAACAACACATATGGAAGAGTTTATGGAAACTGCATAATCCAGAGAAGGTTAAATTCTTTCTTTAGCAAGGATTAGATAAGGATTTACCTACAAACTAGCTAAGGTTCTCTCGACATCTTGCATCTAGTAACACATGCCCTGGATGTTAATGCTCGATAGAGACTTTGTTACATGCCTTAAGGGATTGTCCTCATTTGAAGGAAATATGGCTACAAATTGGTCATGGGCTTGCTTGGGTGTTTATGGTGCATGATATCGACACTTGGTTCTTAGTTATCATTGAACATCAGGATGGAATGAGGTTGAGTATGGTCCTCTAGTGAGTATGAAGGTTTTGGAGCAATATGATTTTCTAGGAAAAAGGATGGAGTATTTAGTATGTGTTGTATCAGATTGAGACAACTATTGAGGATAATCTTTTATATTTGAAGTGGAGTTAGGGGAGAATGTGTATTGGTCCCCTCTTAAATACTCGTGACTAGAGTTGAATGTAGATGGTAATTGGTTGAGTGACAAAAGAGTTATGAGATTTGGAGGTGTTGTGAGGGATGTAGTGGGAGGTTGGAAGTTGCAAGCTCAACAAGTAATGGTGATCTACTTCATATATAATTGTTGGCAATAATGGAAGGTTTGGAGTTGTGATGACACTTACGTTGGGAGCACATAATTTGTGAATCAGATTATGTTGGGGCAATGTCGATGATTTAATGGTCGGATCATGAGATATTATCAACAATATCAAAAGGATGGTGACTCAAAATTATAAGGTTGTTTTTGTGAGTATCTCTTGCAATATAAACAAAGTGACTCAAACTCTTGCAAGTTGGGGTGGAGGACTAGGAATTCAAGTATTTATATTGTATGGAAGTGTTCTTCAGGTTTTAGTTCCTAGTTGGTGAGAGAAGATATTTCTTTATTATAATTCTTTTTTGTTTGTTTGTTTATTTTTCTGAATACACAAAAAAAAACATGTTATATTTTATAAACATATTTACTTTAAATCGACTTTGTTTTTATGAAGAATAATGATATTTGTCCACCTAAAATTGAGTGCATTAAAATGATAAAGAAAGAAAACAATAGATGTAATGAATAATAAAATAAAAGAAAGAGAGAGTGAGAGAGATTGAAAAAAAAAAAGGATGATTTAAACTTTATGTGTGTTTGATAATACATTTTTTTTATCTATAAAAAATATAATAACTAAATAAGATGGTTTAAACTTAAATTATCTACGTACAACACATTATCAAAATTTTAAGATTATTTTTTATAAGGACCGTGCATATGGTTTTTAAAGAAACTAATCCCAAGAGTTGTAAAAAAATCCTACTCGAGCAATTATTTTCCTATAAAACTTGTGTCATTCTACAATTGCATTATATCATCATTTCATTTTATTTGTTATAAAAAAATCAACTGAATTAAAAATAAAAAAAAATAAAAGAACTTATTTAAATTTATAATAGTATTTGATGATATTTTTATGCTTATTTTAGTGAAACAAATATTTAGTTAAAGAGAAAGGCGTAGTTGTTATGAATAAAAAGAAATTAGGGCAGGGGAGAGGGGAAAGTGCAAATTGCAAAGAGAAGATGAACAGCGACACAAAAGCGAAAAGCGGTGGCAACGTTGGAGGGGGGTTTAGGTCGAAGTTGAATCACTACCTCTATAGCGGTGAAAAGAAACATGTTTTCATTGGTTTAACTCTCATCACAGGTGTCTTTGCCATCCCATGGATCCTTATGAACAGAGGTACAACTTATATCTTTTTTTTTTATCAATTTTAATTTCACTAAGTTGCTTTGCCAGCACTGTTATGCGTAAAGCTCCAATCTTTGGAAACATTTTTTGCAGAGTATAATGTTAAAGTCTTCTAAGATAGCATTTGCAGAGTGCATTTTTTTCTTCTTGTTCTTAACGGAAAGTGGTCGGGTTTGTTGGGTTGTTGGATTAAGTTTCCTTGTCTGATTAGGGATAAGTAAATCTTAGAGTGATGGGTCAAAATTGAAAATTTGAAAATGCGTTATGTTTCTGATCCGATTAAACCTCATGAGGCTAGTGGTATTTGATGTGATACTCACATATAAGCTGCTTACTTAGGGGGAATGTGTGTTGAGTGTCTCGGATCTCTTACTTTACCAAAGTGGTTGCATATTTGTTCATGCTAGAAGACTAAATGTAGCCTTTTGCTACTTAATTTAGACTCAAAACTCTGAAATTAATTAGACTTTGTTTAAGAATGGACTTTGACCTTGTTTGCCTAAACTTGTTCATAAACATTAATAGGAGAAGAAAATAACAAGGAAAAAATAAAATAATTTGTTTTTTCATAAACAAAAATTAGCTTATGTATAAGATAATTTTTAGAAGCATTTTCGATTAGCTTCTCCAAAAGTTGGTTTTTATTTATGTATAAGCTAGTTTTAGTTTATGTTAAAAGGTTTTTTTTTTCTCTTTCTTATAATGTCTATGGAGAAGTTTATCGATACTGGGTCTTTGTGCAACACTTGATGGAATCAATTATAACTCTGAAAATTTATGCTGGATGGATACTGTTAGCACCCTGTCTAGGATTCACGAGTGCATAAAGTTCTGTCATGCCAGTTTGGCTCCTCATACATGGATACTTTCACCAGTTTTCAAGTTAAGGTTTTGACGGGATTGCTCAACTTCTTTCTTCCGCTTCCTCTACAATAGAAAGAAAGTTTTAGATCTTTCAGAGGAGATAGGCAAAGTGGAGGGAAATGCCAAAAAAGTTGTATTTCGTGTAATTTAGCTCTTCTGTCTCTTTCTCCCATGCCCTTTTTTGTTGCCAATAATAATTTGTCTATTGAACAAGAATTGGATGTAGTGATAAGCAAACTGCACTCCCAGGAGGAGAACCAGAGTTCAAATCTTGGCAAAGGCAATTGTTAGAAGGTCCTTTCTAATCGCACCATTGTCTAAGCCTTAGTGATCGTTTCACATCAATGTATGCGGAGATACCCTGGCCTAAAAAAAAAATGTATTGGATATATTCCGTTCACCCGCATTCCATGGCATGATCATAAAACTCAACTATCCTCACCAAAATGCATTTCACCTATGTTATTTATTGTATGTTTTATTGTTTGAAATCCAGAAACAATATTAGACTTGGTAGATAATCACTGCAGTACCTTTCAATGATGTTTTCTTTTGGATTGGTCTCATTTGGTTATCACATGTAGATCGTTCAAAAGGGTTTTAGATTTAGATTTTTCTTGTGTATCTCCATTTCAGTGCATCCTTTCAAATACTTAATATATTTAGCTTCTTGTTTCTTTGCAGGGAGCAAACACCAGTCTCATCAAGATTACTTAGAGAAAGCCGATAAAGCAAGGAGCCAAAGACTCTCATCCAGTTCTCCTTCTGTCAAATGATCTTCATCAGCAGTCTGTTAGAGAGACACTTTGCCGGTAATACTAAATTAAAAGGCGTCAAATATGTTTGTTAGATGTCCTTTTCTCTCCAGTTTTATCCTGTGGAGTGGAGACCCATTTTCCTTTTTCCATTGTCCTGTTACTGCTAAATTGGTCTTATTGTTGGGGGGAAAAAATAATTATGTATAAGAAATTTTCCTTATGTAATAAAATTAGTTTGGAATGATTTGCCTGTTTGAAGCATAGTAACTGGATAGGGAGACTTCTCATTATTTGTGTGCACACGCAGAATATGTTTCTCGTTTGCTTATGCATTGGTAATAATTTCAGTTCCATGTTTGTAGTAATATACCTTTCAGTCCTTTCTTATGTCGTGCTTGTTGAAGATCATTCGTGAGTTCCATGTCGAGCGAGTTGTGCTTGAGCAGTAAACAGGTTATATAAAATTTATCTAGTCTTTTATACGATGATATGTTCTTGTTTGTTTGTAGAGCATTCAAGATTTCTAGTAAATCTAGAAGGAGGTTCCCCTTTCTAATTGTGCAATGTAGGTCATTATTAAAAGTAGAAACACGACAAACCCCAAGTGCCATGTTGACAGACGCTTAAATATCTAACCAGGCTTTAGTGTTTTTTGATGGCTGATATGGATGAGAGTAGAATAGGATAAGACGAGGATAAACTTTAATCTTGTTCAATGTTTGGTGGACATCATGATAACAAACATTATTATATATTTTCTGTATTTAATATATACTAATAAGATATAATATAAATTATATTGAATTAACAAAATTTATGTTTTTATTAAAATTACATATATTTTTTTTATAAAAAAATTAAGTATTAATTAAAAAAACTTTAAATTAAAAATGATTTTAATTATATAATATAAAGTTGGTTTTTTATTTATGTAGTTAACATTATTATATATTTTCTGTATTTAATATATACTAATAAGATATAATATAAATTATATTGAATTAACAAAATTTATGTTTTTATTAAAATTACATATATTTTTTTTAAAAAAAAATTAAGTATTAATTAAAAAAACTTTAAATTAAAAATGATTTTAATTATATAATATAAAGTTGGTTTTTTATTTATGTAGTTATATTTCTTAAAATTATAATTATTTTCAAATATCTTTCTAAAAACTACTTAAATAATATTTTTTTTATTTGATATTCTAGTTAATAATATGTACATTATAATGCGTATTATATATATTATTATAGTAATTAATGTTTGATATTATGTGTTATATTTATTATATTTTTTATTATATATATTATTATTAATAATATATGACATAATGTATACAGAGGGAGGAGGAGAGCTTATTTCCTAACCCATCTCTCTTAAGATTAAAAAAAATACACTAAACTAATAGGGTAGTATTAGAAATAAGGTTTTTTAAAAAAAAAATAGAGATAATATAAAACTATTATATTCTGTTATTGTAATAAATAATAACATGATAAGATAATTATTTTATTCAATTGTGGTCACTAAATGATCCTAAGTTTCAAATGGTATAGACTTGGGGAGCTTCTACTTAAGGGGTTTTAAAAATCTAACCCCTACTTTTTTATTTAAAAATAATAATGTTCTTAAGAGAAACATGCTTTCTATTAATTTTTTTTTTAAAAAAAAACTTTAATAAAAAGGGAACAATTTTTTTTTTTGTTGTTGATTTTTTTGGGGTAAAAAAGTTAAGGCAACATAAACAAATTTTAATATGATGATAATTTTTTTTATAAAAAATAAAACTATTTTTTTGTCAAATCGTTGAGAAGAAAAAAAAAAGCAAAACGAAACAAAACGGTGCAATAGAAGTGAAAGAAGGAAAAAGGCCGAGGAAGGGAAATGCCTTATATTTATATGGCTGGTGATAAACACACCTCCACTCTCATATAAACACACCCCCTTTTTAAAAAAATATATATAAAATGTCTAAATTACCCTTAAAAAAATGAAATTCTTAAATTTACACCTCCCTTCCCCCACCCTCCTTCCCCGCACCCCACATTTCACACCCCTCTTCTTCCCAAAGCCTCTTTCCGCTCAATGTTATTAAGCAATATACTTTTACAGTCATTCTGAATAGAAAAAAAGGACTAGTCCCACCATAATCAGCATAAGAAAGGTTCTTTTACAGTCATAGCATTTCGAAAAGTACTTTTACAGTCATTAGCATTCCGGAAAGTACTTTTCGGAATAGAAATTATTGTTCATATAATTCCGGAAAGAACTTTCCGTAATAGTAACTTTAATATTATGGAAAATACTTTCCGGAATTATATAACAAAATATTTCCGGAAAATACTTTCCGGAATAAGAATTTAATATTATGGAAAGTATTTTCCGGAACATTTTTATATAATTCCGGAAAGAACTTTTCGTAACAGTAAGAAGAAGAAGAAGAGGAGTGCCAGAAAGAGAAAGAAGAGGGGTGCGCAATGTCGGCAAGTGATTTTGTATGAGAAAGACTCTTACTTGTTCTATGAAAAGAAAGATTAGTACAAAAATAACTTTTAAAATCGGGGTTTTAAAATCAGTCATAAGGTAGCCATTTTAAAAGTGACGCGGTGGCCTGTACTGCAACAGAACGGCCCCAGAACGACCCTTGCTGCAAGCAGAACGGCTCTTGCTGCAAGCAGAACGGCCTGTACTGCTTGCAGAACGGGCCGTACTGATTGAAGAACGCGACGTACTGCTTTCAGAACGGGGCGTACTGAAAACAGTACGTCCCGTTTTGCTGCAGAACGGGCAGCACTGAAAACAGAACGGGACGTATTGCAAGAAGTACGGGCCATTCTGCTTGCAGTACGGCCCGTTCTGCTTGCGGGGAAGGGGGTGCGAGGAAGGAGGGGTGTAAATTTAGAAATTTTTTTTTTTTAAGGGTAATTTAGATATTTTATATATATTTTTTTTAAAAGGGGGTGTGCTTATAGGAGAGTGGAGGTGTGTTTATCATGAGCCTATTTATATAACTTGAAGCAGTAGGCCATGGTTGGGCTACAGCTGCAGCCCAAAATTGTTTGTTTTCCACATATATGGCGTGTTTGGTACAAAGAAAAAAAAAATAAAAGGAATAAGGTGGACATCAATAGGTAAGGGAGAAATAGAATAATGAAAATTAGTGAGAAATATAATAGACTTTAGGAGTGTTTATTTCAGGAAAAATAGAGAATATATAGGAAAGGGAAATAAGAAAATAATAATAATATTAGAATCGTAGAAGGCTGATTTTTTTTTCCCCGTCTCTCCATTAGAATTTCACTAAACAGTAGAAATTAAATCATTTTGAGTATTAAAAGATTAATATTATGATTTCATTAATTTATATTGTTAACAACAAATACAAAAAATTTCACACGTACAATTTTTATGTCAAATCAAATCAATAAATACATAATATACGGTTTATTACTGAAAGTGAATAATGAATACATTAATCAATATCCTACAATGCATCAAAAGTGATAACAATCTTGTAAGTATGATTTGACTCATGATAATATACTTGTAAGTTATAGCACTTTCCTATATCATCCAAAGCTAAATTTAATAATAAAATGAAATTAAAACCACTCATCCCGATTCAAACATTACTCTCCTTCATATATTGAAAAAATAACAGACCCTCCTTCCACACCACCACCAAAGATGAGGGTGATGCCATGACTTTGTTTATTCCATCACCGAATCTACCATGAAAGAAAACTCCTTCCATGGTGTACTTACTGAGAATTGTTGGTAGAAAATCTTCGGTCTAAGGTTTTTGATTCTCGATTCTCAATCTTTGAGATTGTAAACAACGGTTGCACCTACAAAAGCGACTCATTTATGGTGTACTTGCTAAGAATTGTTGGTAGAAAATCTTCGGTCCAAAGTCTTAACTCTTAACATCAAAGTTAGCGAGTAGTCCGAGCATTCATGTGTTATGTGTAAAGTTATGTATCTTGGATCTTGGTGGTAGAATGCAAGTATATATAGGTAAAAAAAAAATATTATTATTAAAGATTCAATTATTTAAGTACATTCAAGACTTTTAATTATCATGTAACGGTGGAATGCCACATTCAATAATATCGACACCGAAGCCTATTTGATACACATGATTTTTTCATTTGCAAAGATGAAGAGGATGTTCATGTTTATGATATCTTCTTATTTCATAATCAAATCCACCATGGAGTTTTTTGTTAAAGACACTTGTGGCTAAAGCATAACCATTATTTCTTTTTCGTCTTGACCATTCAATACAATCCACTCAAGAAAATCCATTATTTCACTTATCTAAGATCCGACTAAATTGAAAAATTAATTGGTTAGTTGCAGTTTATGATATTTGGTCAACAAGTATGAGTTGATGGAGCTTTTTAGATTCGAATCTGTTGGTATTCGATTGTCGATCATTCCAACATATATTTATAGAGGAGGGATCCTTTTACTCCAGGAGTAAGTCTACATAAACTTACTCCGTTTAATAATTTATGTTCTACATCAAATTTTAACAATCCAACTGTTCAATTTAAAGTTCTTAATGCATAGATCAAATCTGCAAATTTTTAGAAAATTTGAAAATCATTTGATACTTCGTTTCATTAATTCGAATCAATGTATAAAATAATTTTATGATTATCCGTCAATTTAAATTAATAAAATGAAGTATCAAATAATTTTTAAATTTTTTAAAAATTTGCAGATTTGATCTATACATTAAGAACTTTAAATTGAACGTCTAGATTGTTGAAAGTTGATGTAGAATATGAGTTATTGAACGAAGTAAATATAACTGAAGTAAAAGGATCCCTCCTCTATATAAGATAATCTTGTTAATCTTATTTGAGTTAAATAATATTATTATAAGAAGAAAAAAAATTTCAAATATTTATATGTACTCAAGACTTAAATTTGGTATCACTAATAAATTATAACAACTAGTTGAAATAAAGCATTTTCCTTTTTATGATTTACGTTTTACTTGTTTATGTGCACTAAAAACATAAATTTAATTTCTTAAAAAGTTCAAGAACACTATCTAAAGAATTTATCCATAACATTCCACTAAATTCATCCGGGATATAGAAGAAATTTCTCAGTTGGTAATCCAATATCAAAGAAACAAAACTCACAAACCTTATCCCTAGAAGAATAGAGAGAGGAGGAAATTTTTGTCAATTTTTTTTATTGTCTAAAGCTGTTCAATATACATCTTTTTCCAGCTTAGGAATCCATACCGAAATACATAATAAAGTTAATTAAATCATAATAATTAAAATATATTTAATAAAATGAAACTTAAGCAATTAATATGATAATTGTTTGTCAACTAACATCAATTATTTCATGATAGACGAGGTGGATCAAATCAAAATTAAAATATATAACGTTTAGATTGCTATGATTTTTTTTTTATCAGCTAAAAGAAATGTATTAAGGAGGTACTAGGGGTGCCAAACCCAAATACAAGAATGTTGAGAAATAAGAAAGAAGTTACAAATAGTCTTATACTACAAAATTATATGTTCCTATCATGAGTAATACAAATTCCTGTTGCGATGTACTGTAAAGCATGTCTCCCACATGACCCATTGCATGTTGATAATGACATTTGATGTGTCATACTGCAATCATTGAGTGATCAATTACACTGAAGCCCATAGAGTCTGTCATCCATGTGTCCACTTTCTATTATCCTGAATATGCTGCAACTCAAACCGCAAGGCAATATAACCCCTTACTTCCCACAAAAGATTACCAAAAGAATTCCAACCTGTTTACAAATTACAGTGCTAGGATACACACTTGATACAAGAAATAGGATCCATAAGCCAATTAACATACAATAATTGATCTCTCTTCAAATTCACATTCAACCATTTCCAAGATCGATATTTAATGGCCTAAAAAATTTCCATTATATCCAACATCCCATTATTAAAAACAATACGGTTCCTATGAAGCCATAAACTCCATATAACAGAAATCCAAATAGTTGTGAATATCCTTCCCTGCTTCTTCCCAAGTGCAAACCCACCCATACTTACCAATAATTTATCCAAAGCATTAGGTAAGCACGCTGAAAATCCAAGCCAATGAAGGACCAAATACCAGATTTTACATGAAATTTTGCAGTGTAAAAAAAGATGACATACATTCTCTGCCTCAATATTACATAAAGCGCAAAAATCATTAATAACAGGAATACCACGCCTTGCTAAACTTGCTCGAACTGGTAGCGAATTCAACAATAATTGCCATGCATAAACAATTGCTTGCTTTGGAGCTTTTGCCTCCCAAATGCATCGAAAACTTTGTTTTAAAACCGTCTCCAAAACATTCCCCGTAGAAAAAAAGGAATGCAGCCAAATATATGCTGATTTAACAGTAAAAGTCTTTGATGGATCACATTTCCATAGCCACATATTGGGTATATTTAACCGCAACTCTACCCCACCAACTAATTCTCCTAATTCATTTTCCAAATCTCTTTCCCATTGAAGTATCAATCGTCTCCGCCACTAAAATTCCCACTGCCACCGTCCTTCCACAAACAATCCATTTTCACCTACTATTGATTGTTTGTTTGCCACCAAAGAGTACAAACGAGGAAAAATCTCACTCAAAATAACCCCGCCCACCCATCTATCATGCCAAAAAAGCACCGAACCTCCATCTCCAACGACTCTCAAAAGGTTATTATCCAATCATAACTTTTAGATTGCTATGATTGAATAAAGAGAGTTACGTCATAATTATTAACTATAATTTCTGATTTGGTAAGCGTTTGATCCAATAATAATTAAAATGCAGTGTTATATAATTAATACTTTTCAATTTTTAAAATTATTAAAATTGAAAACACTAATACGAAAATAAATATTTTCAGGTAATCTTTTAAATTTAAAATAATCTCATGCAGAAATTAATAAGCATAAAAGATAATAAAAGTTTAAAGAAATTAATTTATTCAAGGAATAGCTTCGCACTTGGAAAATTACGAGTGTGCATTGTTTTTTTTTAAAAAAAAATATGTCAAATTATACCGCACTTTTTTAACATATGAATCATTTAAATTATATTAATAAATCAGTTCAAAATCAAACTATTGTTATAAGCTTATTTCAAAACTAAACCAATTTCAACTTAGTCTTAAAAAAAATTAAGAATTCTTTTTAAAAAAATTGTGAACAGAGTCAACGCATTCTTTATAAAAATTAAAAACCGTATATAAGTTAGCTGGACATCTAATTTGTAACCAAGACAAACACAGTAAAAAAAACTAAACAAATACATAAAACACAATAAAAAAAAATTGTTTATTTTATTAAAAATATTCCCTAAATAAAATTAAATAAACGAATCCATAAAAAAATTAACTAAAAATATCTAATTTAACATTCTAAAAACAATAAAAAAAAATTAAAAGAAAAGAAAATATATTAATTGTATACAATACTTCAAATATTTTATGCTAAACTATATATTATTAAACTGTAAGAGATCGGTAAATTATTTTTATTTTATTTTATTATTTAAAACAATACTATTTAATTTTGAAAATTTCTAAATTAATTACCTTTTTTTTATTTTAAATAATGCTATTCAATTTTTAAATTTGAACCGATTGATTTGGATTTATTGTGCAATAGAGAAAATAGAAAAATACAGTTTACCATTTAGGATAAGATATAAATTTATTGCGTGACGTGTTGGCAGCCATTTCCATTTGCGATTCGGAATTGGATAGAGATAAACATGCGGAAAGCAGATTCACCAATCACCACACTGCACACTGTTCATCCCTTCAACCATTTCGTCAGGGAAACATTTTTCAACACACATTTTAAATTCAAGACAGTAAAGTCTGATCTTTAATTTAAAGTATTTAAATGTTGAGATGAATAAAAAAAAATACTGGGTAAGTAAAGGATAGCATCAATTACATTTGTATTTATTTTAATGTTCAAATAATGATTGTTTACATTAATATTATTATGAGATGGAAGCCTTTCATTTGTCTTTAACTTGAAGGATTAAAGAGACATTTCCTCTTCTTCAATTATGCATAGAGGACTTTACATTCAATTATTTAATATAATATAATATATACAAAGTACACCAACCAGCACCTTTGGTGGGACAAGTAGGTCAAGAAGAGACCCACTTTAACTAATGCACAATCATGATATGATTGAATAATTACATTTACAATTTCAAATGTAAGGATTAATATGAGAGGTATAGTCACGAATTCCTGCTCCTTCCCACCCCATCCACTCCTCCCACATGTCCCAATCTGGATCGTTCATTCCCCTCAGTGGCTCATCAATTCCACCATCATCATAATATGCCTCATAACTTTGTGCCTCATTTGATTCCCCTCTCAAGTTCGCCATCACAATCTGCGTTCAAACAACCAACAATGAAATCTCAATTACGAAACTGTCGTGTTGGCCATAAATAAACAAAAAAGGCTCATGATATAATGTTGCTTTTGTTGCACTTTAACATATTCTCATTGGGAGATTATCATGTTAAGAAATTTCAACTATTTGGTCACACTTTAAACAGTTATAAAAAATCAAGCACTTTTATGTTCCATTATGCTTCCAATATCATTTTGAGTACTCTTAGGAACTGAAATTTAGAAAAGGGTTGGTGTAGGATAACTCACATCATAAGCCTCGTTGATTTCGTGAAACTGTACCCCACAATTGTTACCTCTGCACACATCTGGATGGTACTGAAGCAAACACAATAACACCAAATAATTAATATAAAAAATCAAAATTGAAAAACCAAATATGAATTCAATAAATTGGGGGAAAAAATATTATGGGAATGAAATTCAAACCTGCAAAGCAAGCTGTCTGAAAGCCTTCCTAACCTCAGATTCAGAAGCCCCCTTTTGTATTCTCAAGGTCTTATAAGGATCCATAACAGAAGAAGAAGAAGAATAATAAGAACAACAAACCCTTGATTTGTTGTTCTTCCTTTCCCTTCGTTTGAATTTCATCCAAGAAGCAGATGAACCGTTACCAGCAACAACCCCAGAAGTTGCAGCAGCAGCAGCAGCCATTGCAGAAATGGTCTTAAATCTCACAAATAAAAAAAATATCAAAGGCAGAAACTCAAAAGGACCCAGAAAGCCTCTGGCTATAAATAACGAAACTTTGATCTTTTGATGAATGTTTTGGTTTGGAATGGATCAATGGGCACGGCAGGTTGATTTGATTGGGAATCTGTCGGAACCCTAAAATATTGGGTTGATTTTCCCTTTGTTTGAATAATAATAATAAAATAATAATTGTAGAATAGAGCAGAGGATAGGCAAATAAAGTAGTAGAGGGTAAGCGTGGAACGAAAGGGATTTATATAGAAAAGAAATTAATGGTGAAAATGGGAGAATCTGATGTGGGAGGGTTCATAGTTCTTATCCATTGAGTCAAGGGTGACGTGGCTACACAAATTTAATGGAAAGAGACAGAAAAAGTGAGAGGGAAAACAACTGCTGACACGGATGCTTGTTGCCCTTATCTTATCTCTTCTTTACTTTTTATTTCCTCTCAATTCAAGCCTCTCCTTTTATTTCTCCCCAATTTTAGCTACCAACATTTTTCTTTCAATACATTATGACTTTAAATTTATTATAAGGGATGAAAAATGTGTTTTTGCAGACTTTTTTAACTCTTGTTTTGGGAGAAATTGTTGCTAAATATGACATTAAAATGACTTGGTAAAACCCTAACATTTGTCACTATAAAAAAAATATGAGAATATACTCTTTTAAATATATTAATCGATTAAATTTTATTTGAAAACCTAAATTTTGTTAGTTTCATATTATATTTAATTTTAATTTTAATTGTATAATTTTTAATAAATTTTAACGAATATTGATAGATGCATTCGAAAGAAAGCGAGTATTATAAAATGTTACCAGCATTCTTCTTAATATCAATAATCATCTATTACACATCTTGCATTATCTAATTAGTGAAATTTCAACTATCATTATAATTTAAGATTTTTACTCAAACTAAGGAAATAATAAATATATCATATTTTTATTTTATTTTACTATAATAACTCATCTTTTCGATAAATACATTATTTTAAATTGTGATAATTCAATAATTTATGAAAGAATTAATTAAAATAAAATAATTAATATTATATTAAAAAGTGAATATATCATTTATATTACAAAGACGAAAGAAAGAAATACAATAGATATAATTAATTTTTTCACTAAATACTCTTTAAGTAAAAAGACTCATTTTTATTAGTACGCAACTATTTCTCATTTTTTCGAACACTTAATATTGATATTATGTTCAATCCTTTTACTTTAAAAACAAGGACAAGAGATAGTATTAACTTTGACATTAAAATCTTTATATATGTAATTATTGAATTTGTTATCATTACTGCAAGGATTATCGTGAAACTCATCTAAAAGATAACTCTCACTTAACATCACAACAAATAGTATAAATATTAATTTCTTCCAAATAAGGAATATAATTTCTATTAAATTTGTTCGAAAGCATATGAGAGTGGGATATTCTTATTCTCATCCACCACATGAGAGTGAGATATTCCTATTCCCTTCCATCACTTTTAGAATTTGTTCGTGAGCCCTTCGTCTTTCTTAAATTCTTTACCGTTGGAACAAATTTTAGTATTTCAAGTTTGCCCATTTTAGTTTTGTGCCATGTCACTCTTATCCTTCAAAAAGTGTAATCACAATATTTTTTAAACAATGGTTAGGAAAGAGATTAGATTAGATGATTGAGAACTAAAGATAGATTTTCATTTCTCTCTATGAATAAAACATTAAAAATAAAATTGAAAATAATATATAAATATGTAAAAAACCTAAATGGATTAATTTGTTTAAGATTCCAAATTTATCCTCAAGAAAATATAGGAATTGAAAATGGAATCATATTCCCTACCTTTTAAATATTGAAAAAGATAATTATTCTTAATTTTTCTACATATATAAATGATACTTCTATATACTAATTAGAGAAAGAGACACTTTGTATATTTGTATATCTATTTTTTAGAAATATTTAAAAGAAAATGATTGTCAAAGTATGTAATATTATGGAGAAAAGAAAAATACTAAAAAGAAGAGTTGAAGAGTATCAATAAAAAAATTTAATATTATTTCAAAACAGTTAAATAATATAAAAACTCTTTAAAAATGCAGTCAAACAGTCAAAAGTAAAAAATTCATAGTATTTTTATGCTAGTTTATTTTAATTATTGAGACTACATCTACTTTTAATTAACTTGGTCAATTTTTATTATCTTTTACAAATATATAAATATTTTTAGGGTTTAGTTTCACATGTCACTTCTCACTCAACTCAAGTATTATTGAATTACCTCTTTAAGTAACTATCCAAAAAAAATTTAACAACGAAGTCTTCTTAGGCTTCAACAACCAACAACTAAGCCTTTCTAAGCTTCAACAACCAATTATTTTTTACAATATAGTTTGCTCAAACTTCAAGTAATAACACAAATTTAAAGTTAGAAAATCATTTATTTTATCTTATTGTCAAGAGGTAATACAACAAAATTAAGGTCAATATTTTTTATAAAGAGAATGAATATGTTTTTACAATAATTGTTCTTTTTTCTAAGTCTTAAAGTTTCTTTGTATAGGTGTTTCATGAAGATAACCATTGCAAATCTTTAAGCATCTCTCATAGGGTTGTTTTGTGGAGAAAAAAGTGTCCTTTGGTGTATTAAATGTGTTTCCACCAAATTATCACTTATTATTTGATTAAAAAGGCTATTTGTCACTTTTAAGACACCAAAAATGAACTATTGCACACGTCAATCAAAAATAACTTTTTTTTTAGACTTCACATGCTTCAAGAGATTTACTTGTCCTTTTTTTTACAAAAAATATGTCTCCTTTCCTTTTTGAGGTTTAAGTATCGAATAAGTTTTCTATTTCTTTTGATATGTTAAACAATAATATAGATAAATATGATTTGGTTATCATAAATCATAAATGATATATATTAAATGTATTCGTTTTTTAGACAAAGTAAGTTTTTTGAAAAACTATACATTATCATAATCAATCGTCTTATTGTATGATTTATAAAAAATTATTCAAAAAATATTTAAGTTTATTAGCATTAAAATTCATTTCTTAAGAATTTAAGATTGTCTTTTGATCTAACAAGTGTGAATTTAGAAGTAATAGTATCTAATGTGAAAAATAAAACTAAAATTTATAAAAAAACTATCCCCTTTATAATAGATAGTAAAATATAAAATATATTTGTAGTCTTTTATTTATTTTTTTGTTCATTTAAAATTTTAAACATGTGAAAAGTGATTTAAATTTGTCGAATGATTTATTTATTTTTAATAATATTATTAATATTAATATTAAGAATTATGGCATAGAAGACAAAATTATGTTAAAATAGAGAACATTAAAAAAGGTTAATGAATGATACCTTTGATAAAAAAAACAAAAAAAAAAACGTAAAGACACTCAAGTGGCTCCCATCTTAAGTGATGTGAATGAGATCCCTATTTTGAATTGTAACTAAATGTCTATACCACCCCAAAAAAAAAATCTAAAAGAGCTAAGGAATCTTCAACTATTACCATAGAATTTTAAAAGTAATAGAGATCGGAAG